CATAACTGCGAAGTGTCTTCATCCTCGCCCTCCTCCAATCTCCCGCGTTTCGACGGTCGTGGCGAAGAATCCATCGGACTAGCACGATCCGTGAAACTCCTCAACTGCTCCAAAACCTTTTCGTCTCCCACAGAAAGCCCTTTGTCAAGCGCCAAAAAGGACGCCATGCCCTCTGGCGTCCTTACAAGTGCAGGCGTCTCCAGAAACGGCGCATCCTTCGCCAATGGCTTGACGCCATTCACTTTAGGGATCGCGCGCCCTGCTTGGTGGTGGTAGTTGTATTGGTGGTTGGGTATCGGAGGGTCCGTACGTTCCTTCCGATCAGTGATGTACCGCAGCAGTTTTTCGGCCTTTATACGCAGTCGGTCAACGCACCCACGGAGGGGGTGGTCCTCCGCCGCGTTGTATTTGTAGCAGTTTGACCAGATCAGTTCGAGGTCGTCCCGGAAGTCGCGTTTTGACTTGTAGGCTTTTTGTTTTACTTTTTTGAGCATTGTTTGAAAATCCATGGGGTTGCTGATGACTGCATGCGTTTAGTCGGTAGTAGGTGGAGTGAGTGGGGAAGAGCCGAACCGTCATAATAGTCTGGCACGTCGACTCTTGAGACGGGTTTGAGGAAGGCTTCGGCGTCGTGGTTGTCCTTTCAAAGGTTAGATATATAACGTTGAGAAAGCGTGAAACAACTCACGATGGTGACCGACCTCAAATCAGCCAAAAGACCTTCAAGCGAATCAAAGAACGGGTCAGATAACTTGCTATCTTGATTCTGCCGCTTTACACCAAGTCAACAACGGACAAAGAACAATGGTGGGAGCGCGTACCCTGGCTTCATTGACGGCAGTAAGCAGAAGCCGGAGATCTCCAGCCGGCTTTACTTGACTTTCCGTAAGAGTACGGAGCAAGTTCTATGAGGAAATTGGCAAGGATTGAAGGCGGTCTGTGGTCACTTACGTTCATCGAAGGTGGTGGTCGAGGTCAAGCGTGATGATGTGCTGACCCTTCAGAACCAAACAATGTGGCTCGTCACGTGTCTAGAGGGAAGTGGAAGCGTCGGGTTGGCGTCGGGGAAGAGTAAAAGAAAAAAAGGCTCAGCTTACGCCTTGTGCGTACAATTTGAAGGGCTTGTAGAGAACTGGAGTAGACGAGCGGACGATTATCATGCTAAGAAAGTGGGGGGAAAGATAAAAGTTCCATTCGCCGAAAGGACTTGGAAAGGACGCCTTATACAAGCCTTATATATGATACAGAAATCACATGAAATTGCATGTACGCGCATATAGCCTGACTGAAACATTGGGGAAGGGTGTAAAAATAGAAAGTAGAAGGGTAGGAAGATGTGCTGTTGGGGGTTTTGTTCGTTTCTGCGAAGATAACTCAGAACACAAATAAACAATACTAATAATGAACTTGCATCATTACCAAATGCTAGAACTCTACGATTCCAGCCCATGGTCCCAAGTGGTGCAGGAAAATCGTTTAAAGTACGCCCGGACGCTTTCTAACGCAGACATCGAATGTCTGGTGTGGGCAGAACTTGATGCGCTGGCGTTCGCCCACTTCGTTCCCACCTGCCTTGGCCCCCTCCAACTACTCGTTGCAGATCAGGATCTCCACGCAGCTTCAACACAAATCACGAAATCTTCTGACTGTCGCCTTTTCTTTGGCTTCAACCCACGTCATGTAGAGTCGATCTTGCTCGATCTAAGCCAGCCGAAAACTTTTCCCCACTCAGTGTGCCTCGAGACGACGATTGCCGCATGTAACCGCACACCCGACGATCCAGATTTCATCTTCATCCACCCTCAGTCACAGTTTTATTTCAACATCCAGGATAAAAGTCGCTCGTTGTCTCTCGTGCCTTTCCCGGACAACATTCGATTCCCTAAGGCTATCTTTCTTCTGGAGATGGTAATGTAGCATCACAATGATATCTGCCGTTTCAGCGTCTTCAAGCTGACTGGTCGACCAATGATTTATGTACTGCATCGTGCAGGGGCTCCCACTGGCTTCCCCCTTTCAATTTCAACTGGGACCAGTCCCAGTCGCAATCAGTGTTATGTACTTAAAGACGACCTTACCTTCACAACACCCCACAAATCCTAACAGTCACCAATGACGACGTTATCACACCTGCCCACCTCCTGCTCATAATCGCTGAAGTCATCCTCCTGTCGCTGTCAGCGACAATCTCGAGGTACCAAGTAGTGAACGGCCCTGGATTATTCGCCGCCCATATTCTTCTCCTTTCCTCTCATCCCGCGCTCATGGGTATCTACGCCCGCTTCGTGCGGCACCGAAATTTCGCATTGATCTCGGAGTTGGTATTTTTCTTAAACGCCCTTTTTGTTTTGAAGGCAGAAGGGTTTTGGTCGGGGGACATCGCCGGTATGCACAGACTGGGATCCCAGACATCGTTCTAATATGTTTTCATCAGCGAATTTGCCTATACTCCTACATGTGTCTTTTGCTCTTATTTTTATTTTTCTCGGAGACATCGTCTACAAGGCGATACTTTCGGGGACAGCGGTGGTCAGGATAACACGCCACTAACATTCGTTGAGATGGCGATGAACCTCTGGAGAGCGCTTGGCCCTCATGTCCTGGGAGTGTTAGGCCATATCGTTGGCTGTCTTCAAGTCATACATGACTACTTCGCCGGTGAAGACGATACGCCGATAGAGGATAGGGGGTTAGCAGGGGAAAATGATACCGAGGTGTTGGACCACACCAACTTGTCATCGGCACTCCCGTCTTCGGAGTCGGTGAGTAAGTTTTTTTCAGTTGCTGATGTATTTCACTTACCGGAACACCAGCGGGGAACCGTTGACTCGGACGAAGCCTAGCCAAGGTTGAGTCCGCTAGACATCGTATGAACTTGTGAGTACCAAATTTTTTCTTAATAGTCCATTTCACTTACCACGTGTTTCAGACACCAAGCCTGCGCCACATTCCTTGAATACCCATTAGAACATTCTTACATGCCCTTAGAATCGTGCTGCAATTGTTTGTGTTTCGAATAGAAGTTAGAAATAAGTCTTGATTTTGACGTCGCAGGAAAGAAGTTTGAGGCGAGTCCAGAATGATGGTGTCCAACGGAGCGAGAACACAGACACAGGGGCACGGGGCGGCGAGGAGGGTTAAGATCTAAGACTCGGCGTATCTCCGTGAAGTGATCCGGCATAGCTCTATGAGTTGTAAATGAACCGGAAAACTTAAAAGAAGATGCACCGCTGAGGCATGTAAATTGCTGTAAAATTCGTAGTACTGAATTTTCTCACCAGGTTACTTATGACCAGAATATGTATTGTACACCTAAGGCATGACAGTTATTAGTGATCGAAGCCTTCTAAGGCCAATTCTTTGGCAATAGGTAATTGGCCTTGAAGACCTCAGTCACTCGGCGTTGCCATCTATAAATAGGTCAGGATCACATCGAGATCTCTACAAAAGTGCCATTCAGCACTGAAAGTGGCGGGAAGCACTACTAGACCGACGGCGGCGCGTTCACTAAAAATAGGCAGTGATTATGATATCGCTTCCTCGCTCCGATCCAAAGGCGGCTTTGATGGCGCTTGCCGTTCTCACCAACTTCTCACTTGCTTCTCCCTAAACACCATGATTGACATTCTATGTTGAGCACTGAGCGCTGAGCTTTGGTTGGGCTCACTGTTGCCCTTTTGTTTCCCTTTTTAAACTCGATACTAATCCATCGCTCAAAATGAGTGGCCCGATCATCGAGGCCACAGCATCCCAAGGCACACGGTCCGTTTGAACAATGGTTCATCTTCATACCTGCATTTTTCCGAGGATGGAGGTACTGCACAGTGGCTCAGCGGGTCGTGTTCGAGCGCCGATATATTTGCATGGCGGCAGGCCCTTTGGTTCGCTTGACAAGTTTGTCGACTTGAAGTGAGTTCATATTGAATTTTGTGACGGCGATAGCTAACGACTGTTTCCATAGATGACTCTACATTCAATTACTTTCCCAAGTATGAGTACGTTCTCCAAAGTCACCCACTCCTTCTAAACGAAATCAACTGTCGATGAGAGCTGGTTTTCACAGCTCCCTCAAATTCCACCCTCCTCTGCACGGGCGACAAATCTGCACCTCCCAACTCGATTGCTCCTCAACCTTCCTCAGGTGTTGTAGACAAGTGTTTTCTTGGCCTATGTCAAAGCCCTCCCTCCCGATGTCCATTGTTGGGCAGGCCCTTCGGATAGGAGTTCATCTCTCTCGGGTGTACTATTCACATTCCGACAACATGATGATGTGAGTGCCACAATATTACCGAAATGTGACTTACCTTGGCACCTGAGCTCCCTCATCGTCCATAGAACGGCGGACCCCATCAGTATTTCTACAGTCCGCTCGTCACGACTTGTTTGGACTTGTTTCAACTCGTACGAGCCAAAACAAGCCAAAACGAGTCACAAGCTACGAGTTGGCAAGTAGATCCAAAAATGTCGCAAGTTGCTTCACGAAATTGCTCGACGAGCTGCAACAAGCCGGCAAGTCTCAAAAAGTCGTAACCCAATTTTGAAAGATTTCAGACATTTGTAATAAAGAAATAGTGTACATTAGTTACAGTAGTAGGTAAATAACGAGCGAATGGCCATATGGTATGCCGTCGATGATTGGATGGCGAAGTGACTAATGGGAAACGACCAGCAGGACCTCCTCCGACAACTAGTTGGTCATATGGACTGCAATGTTGCGGCTTTGATCGCTTCTACATTGGTACTCAGAGCGAACGGAGGGGAAGTGAGGGAATCGACGAACCTTAGACATTCTTGCCCATGTTGTCATTGGGCTCGTGAAGCTCAACGACGGCAATTACACAATCTGGATTGATGGGGGTAGATGTCAGGCCCATCCGGTCCAATGGGTTTGCGACATGCTGTTGGATTGAGTTTGAACAACCGGACATCAGAAAAGATGAGTGACGCGGCATTGTCGGATTGGCGGCAGGGAGAGGGGCGATGGTTGGTTGAGTCCGACGTAGCACAGTGTATCGATGATGGAGCGTCCGTGCCTTTTCTCTTTCTGGAACGCAATTGACGAGCGTCAAGCAGAAGGTTGTTGCTTGGGCTAGGTGGCTGACTCTGAACGAACAACTTTGGAGTCGGGCCAAGACGAAATGCTTGTTGCTTTTCGAAGCTCAACAGTTTTCTAAGCCATAAAGTCAGCCATTCACGTCACTCGAGACTGGTAAGATACGTACCCCTTCCGAGAGTAACCGCCTATGATGGGGTGGTGTTGTTGCGTGCGGAACCTCACAAGACCGTCATGAGGCATGCTCGAGTAAACGACGCCAGCGTGGTGGAGAGGTATGGGTGCCGTTGGGGTGGATTTGGGGTGGATGAAAAGAGCCAGACATCGCGCAAGTAAGTACTCGGAGTGTGGTGGTCAACGTTCAAGATGTTTTCAACAGACGTGCGTATCTTGGTTACTGACAATTACATAAGCAAGTCGAATGACTTTTTTTCAGTAAGTCTTCTCGTTGTTAGGCAGCTTGTCAGCTTGGCAGCTTGTGACTTGGCAACAAGCTGTCAGTAACAAAAAGTCGTGAAAAGCTCACGAGTAATTTGTAGATTTGCTGATGCCCACGATCAATCATATTCATCGCCGGTGCGGTATAGATTGTCCACATGTGAATATCGGGTAGCAGGTGCTTGGGAGATAGTGAGCATTGCGGGTGTTAAGACGAGGACCGGCCTGGTCTCAAAGTTATGCTTGTGGATCCTGAGGGGCCTTGGGGTGCTTTTTGTACGTTTTCATTTTTATCTTGTTAGGCATCGGTCTAATGTGAGGAATTCGGATTATGCCCATAGACCCACCATCTCCGTCTTCGTACATGCTAACGACCCCCTTCTCGCTGGACAAGAAGGCACTAAACGGCGTCAGTATGATCGCTTCACCTTCGATGCCCGATCCAAGTGCTCACTACTCACCCATTCGCTTATTTATGCAGCTTAAAGACAATTACAAACCGTCAAATCAGGCTACGAAAAGACGACAGCCTGCCAGCGCATGAGTTCCTGAAGGACAACTACAATGAAGACAACACGCACTTGAACTCGGATCACGATGGTGCGCATAACGCAGTGGAATGCCGCAGTCACGGAGAATCTTTTGGGCTTGATGCTCTTGCTTGTCGATGTTGCGCCTTCGCTTGGTAAGCCAGTTGCCAAGGTCATCCCGCATCTCAGCGCCTATGGAAATGAGCTGCCGATCAAGCATCCATATTCGCTGTGATCTCTATGAGGGCCCAGGGGCCTGTCGGTAACAAAGAAGCCAGACGGAAACAGTACTTACAGCTGATTGTCTTGTAATGCTTATGAGCTTCCGAAGTTTCGACCATAACCGCTCCGTCCCCTCACCGTCTGACAGCCCAAAACCCTCTCTTAAACGTGGATTGTATACAAGTTGACAGGACCACTGATGTACCGTTCGCGGGACGTCCATGGATGAATTTGCACTTTGATCTTCCGACCTTCTTCCATTGTTTGGCATCACATGGACAGATGAATTTGCACTGTGACTTTGCCTTTCCCATCATCCGTCATGTAATAACGCGACATTGCGAGAGTCATAAGTAGTTTTGGTATGTATCTTTACAAAGTAATTACTGCTGCCATAGCGCTGAAAATAGACCAGCCTGTACTCATATTGGAGAGAGAAGGGCTACCGATTGTTATATATGCCCGCCTCGCCGCTTCCTCGAAGGATGGATCAACCCACCGCATTGCTTCATCACGGGAGACCGGGATTGTGTTACAAAGGGCATCAACGGCGTCTTGAGGTACCTCAATGCAGCAGTCCTCGGCAGGTGCTTGAGGAACCATGAACACATGCCGAGGTGTCTGGCCCGACATGTTTGGTTTTGTGCTCTGGTACCATATTTTGTGATTGTTCCAATATTCAACAAACTTGTCGAGCTGATGTTGAAGAATTTGCGGCCAGATCCAGTTAAATAGCTGTCTGCGTATCTGGTGTTTAACTTGTCGAGTGCGACAACGTGAATGAAACAACGCACGGGTGAATAGGATTGCCAGGATTATATACGCCGGTGACTTTCCCTTGTTGGATGACTTCCTTGATGTCAATGCCAAACAAGGTGACAAACCAATGCCATAACCCCTCGATCGGCGTGTTATGAACACTTCGGACATGTTGGGCTGGAGGAAACTGGTCGCTGTCGATATCAGGAGCATAGGTCTCCCTAATGGAAATAGAGAGTTTGTAAGAACGAGAAATCAAACAATATGTGGAAATTACCTGAGCCCAGTTTGATGGGCATAAATGTAGCCAGTCTCTGAGCCTTTATCCACGATGAAAGTAATACAAACCGCTTTAAGGATGCAGCGCCATCAGCATATTGATTGAACTTATGACAATTGGTAATTACCCCCGTATTTCTTTACACAGTCCAGATAGACATGTCCAATAGTGGAGGCAAGCCGATTGTTGGGAAGAACGACAAGATGAAGGAGAAAGGAACTCCACTGATCCTTTATACCGTAGATATTAAGACCAACTCCACCCATACCCAAGGCCTGCGCGTTCAGTTTTTCGTGGCCATCGGCATGATGTTGGTGATTAGGACCAATTGCAACAAGAGCTGACCTTCGAACTCGATTTGCACCGGGGAATCGATGAGATAATCCATCTGGGGCATATGTTGAAAGGGTTTTGCGAATAAAATCTCTGAATAAGGGTTTCGTGAACAATTACAACCGACTGCAAGAAAAATTTACCGAGGAAGCAACATCCCCTCGTTGCTGAGTAGAGTGGAGATGGTACCCACTCCTCGTGTCTGTGCGGTATCCTCCGCTACCATTTCCAGTACAGCCTGAGTTGCTATGTCTGTTGGGGGAGGTTTTCACACATTTGGCACGCCAAATTTGAGATTTAGCTCGGCAAGGCGAGACTTTCTGTGACATGAACGATGAGTCAAAAGTATGATGCGGACAAGAACGAAGCGTGTTTACTTGATGTTGTGCCCATGTTCAGCGGTTAGCCTTTCAAGGCGTTGAGCATTAGTGAGGCGCTCCTTTGCGTATTGATGGAGGGATGCAGAGAGAATATCGTCTGGCGGATCTAAGTGGGTACAAAATGAAGATCAGCGAAGCCATGAGTCATATGGTCTGTCAAACATACAGTCTTTCTTGCCGTAACCGTTAATGCCAGTTGGATTGTTCGGCATAACCGTTGGATATCAGAATGGGATTTGGGAGGATGGTGTGCGTCCATTCCGCAGAGGGGCTTTTAAAGGTCAATTTAGGGGTCTAAACTGATAAAGCACTCATACGATAACAAGGCAGCTCATACGATAACAAGGCAACAGGTAATTCATTTCGAAGAGGTGGATACTTGTGCGAAGAATGCAGTCCCGAAGATGAAATTCTACAGACTACCGTAAATTACTCCTTCCCGTAGACAAAAATGTAAGGCAGCAGGAGTGAGTGTTTACTCTTTATCCAACTGATCTAACTCATCCTCATCCTCGCCTTCGCCTTCCGAGCAGCTTTTAGTTGTTACGCTCTTGCCAAAAGAAGTGAGGTTGAGCCCCTTGCACACATAATTACACGTATGCTGTTCCAAGAAAGATTCGATCCCCATCGGTCCATGGTCTCCAATACCAGAATCACTGTGGCAGATTAGCATTAAGAGTAAGAAGAAAAATGATATTACATACGAAGTATGAGAATGTGACATAATGTCAAAGAGAACAAGGGTATCACGGCCATTAATATTCATAGGGGAGCCTAGAGTGTAGAATGGGTAATCTGGGCTGAAAACTCAGCGCATGAGGTACTTGCCTTGGATATCTGCAAAAACAAGTTGTTTCTGGCTGAATTCATAGGAGAAGTGGGCAAACGCTACAAGCGTTATTCCGACCTTGTCTGTATGACTGGGATGAATCAGAGTTCCACTGAATTTCACGACCGATTTTGTGCGGCGAGGCTCAACAAGCCAGGTTGCAGAATCCGTCTCGAAGGCCGGAAGACCTGAGGCAATAGACGGTTCACCAACCTCCTTTACCAAAAAGCCTTCAGAAACTACAATGTCTGAGTAACAAAATAAATAAAGCATAATGCGGATACCGAAAGACCTTTACCATTTGCAATCTCTACACTATTCGCCTTTGCGTGTTCCTTGAATTTGTTGAGCATCCAGAACGCAGTCTTCAAGCGTACAAGCTCACTTCTCANATGTTCCTCGTTCTCAGCGGGCGTAATCTCACTATCGGAACCAATTTCGAAGAACCTCTTAGCGACGAAAAGCTCTGTGCCCATCGAAAGCTAGAAGACGAGACTCAGTCGTAGTCACACAGACAATTAAGCTCACGTCGCTCACTTGGTAAACGTTCTTGGTACTTCCAG